CGATAAAATTGCGTCAAGTTTATTTCAATAAAATTTGTTTTATAATTTTAACGATCCTACTAAATAAGATCTGATTGTTTTTTAAAATCATCATCCGTGAAAATAGATGAAAACTCACTTATTGAGCGAGTTTTCGCACTTGAATTTTATAGCTTAGAAAATATTACAATTAATAATATTCAAAATAAAAAAGACATTATTAGTTTGCTCAGCATTTAATTCTGTGTTCCATTGTGCTAAAGAAAGAATTTTAATACGTCAAACTGATTTGGTATAATTTGATTTTTCCTACAACGTTATTTAAATACTATCTGCTTCCAACTCCAAGCCAATTTCTTTTTAAATGTAAGAGTAAACATTTTCAAAAAGAGTCTTGAAACATAGAAAATAAAAATTCATTATCAATTCATATTAGAATACTTTGACTTTACTAAATGAAACTTCTCTGAAAAAAAAATATATGCGAAGACATAACTTTTCTATAGAAAATTTTCTATCATAGTGTAAAAATTGACTGTACACTAATATTCGAAAATTTCTAGTCAAAAATAAAAAAAACATAAAAAAAACGAAATCAGTAGTTTTGTAGAACATTGAATTCTCTTTCGAACATGTCAAGAGCTTATTCAAATGCTTAGTGTCTCAAAAATAAGAAAACATTTTGATTCATTTATTATGCACCACCGTTACGTTATTGCTCAAAGAAGATGGATTGAAAAATCATATAAGCTTTTTTAAGTCGTCTTTCATAAATACAACTGACTGTTTTGTATGAAAAATCTTGATTTTAACTAATAATAATAATAATAATAATAGTACTGTATTTAATATTACAGTTAATTTCTTATGAAAAATTGAATATTTTTTTTCTGTTAGAATGAATATTGTGTCCATTAAAAAGAGAAATTGAAAGCTAATGTACACGCATATACGCATGACTGTTTAAAGCAATATGTAACAGAACAGCATTGAAAAACATTATTAATAAACTTTCGAAGTAGAGGTGCAAATATTTAAGATAATATATATGTTTTTTATCTGGATAACCTAATAGAAACATATGAAACTACTTTGACAATTTTCTTGAATAAGCTTTTATTTAATTGAATCGTCTGTTAAACTTATTGTACAAATATCATAAAATGCATTATTTGAACTTTCTAAATTCATTTGTTCACTTGATGACATACACAGTGGCGGGCCAGCATCCCAGATATAGGTGGGGCAATGAACTTTAATTCCTGTGCATAATAAAAAATCTATTTTCAGCTTTATGAAAATGCTCTATGATAGCTGCATTCATTCAAGCTGCAATTAAAACTAGTCTTTTAAAAGTAATCTCCATATTTGTTTTTCTGTTGAAGTCAATAAATAAACGAGTAAATATTGGATTTAAAATTTTTTTGTGTTGGGCAATTGCCCCCAATTGCCTCGTGGCGGCCCGCCACTGGACATACATATTGTGTTATATGATGATGAAATGCGACTCTTTTGATTTTATTTCAACGAAATAAAAAAAGGAAAAAAAAACAAAGTAAAGAGAAAATAGTTAATCACGGAACAAAATAATCAATTTAGTTTCTTGTATATTTGATGAATTGAATTTAACGGAAGAAACCAATGCCTGGAAATATCACACTGACAAATTGTCTAAATGCCTCTTTAGTATTTGGAATTGTTACTCCTTGGTTTTGTATGTCTTTTTCAAATTCTGTTTGTAAACCATTAAAGAAACTGTCACACGACTCCGCATTAGTTACCGATTGTATGTGAGTTTCAATATATGCAAGTGAAAGTTGAAATTTTTCAGTTGCTGGCACAGTATTCAATAGATACTGCCGAATATGAAGCACAGGAGGCATCATGTTTGCATTTAGTGGAAAAGCACTACAAAACTTTGCAATAGGATCCTGTCCCGTCGATTCTGCATTTGCCAAGCTGAGCGATAAGACAACACTAACTATAAGAAATAACTAAAACAAAATTTCAATTTTGAATTTTTCTTTCAGGTTTTACTACTCACTACAAGTACAGTTTTGTTCATAGTTGTTGTTTTTGCTGACGAGTTTTTTTCGTGTTATTACCACAAAATGCGCTGTGATCGAAAATGTAGGCATTTATATACAGAGTATGCAACACTTATGACAACATTCGTCATAATTATACTGTAACCAATAGAAATCAAAATATTTGTTTACATAAAAATTGGCTTGAGAGAATCAGACGAAATCTGTTATTGATCGGAACTCGTATATTTACTCAAAGGAGAGAGTGGTGAGTCGTTAAGTGTTGAAATATGTTTCCTCTCGAAAATGAGTTTATTATTATTCCATGGGAAAATAAGATATTCAGTTTTGAGAGAGAACTGGCTTCATCACTTGACTATTTTCTCTCTTTTGCTAGTAAAATGAGAAAAAAAACTGCTCTTTAACATATTTTCACTTTTACTTTATTCCTGTAATTGTCAGCATGGATCAGGTGTCTTTTTGAATAATAACAAACAATATGAGGTTGTCTAAGTATATTTGAATAGTATTGTATCGTGAACTTGTGTATGATTGAATTGAAAATCATGCATTCCTGATTAGATGTTGACTATCAGCTTCCTCGAAAACTGATTCAAGTTCTAGTATATCTAATCCGAGATATAGAAGATATTGAAGATACAACCTCCTGTGTGTGTGGTCATCCGTAGCACTATGACATCTGTAACATATATAGAAGAATTATCTGTTTTATCGTTATATTCTTATTACCTCTGATGTCTCTATATTTAGACACGGATCGAGTGCATTAGGACTTAAATGAGTTTCCAGAGGAAATCCATAGTAGACATCATAGGATATTACTCTTTCATTAGTGCATTCTCCGTTCGGCATTGTTGTATATATGTGGAGTTTACTATTCAATCAGTTGACAATGTTTAAGACATAAATATATTGATCGAGATTTGGAATTATTTATTCTTGAATGATTAAATGAGTTTCAAAATCATGCTCATCAGCCTTATCATATAAATTAATGTTCCTTTAATTTCTCGACAGTATTTAACCAAGAAAAGGATTCATTAGAATGTACCACATAAATTATTTAGGAAGCTTTATTGAATAGGATTCTTATTGTTAATTTTATTTGAAAATATGAATAATACAGCTGAAATTATTGAGAACGATAATAGCATAAGTATTGCAACAACATTCTATAAAAATTTTTATACGTAGAAGCACACAATTGATCGGAATATTGTTTTATGACGACTGTTTTTTTTTTCAATGTTTGTTTTTCGACCAACACAACTACGAAATTAAATGATTCAGCATTTTATCTTAATACGCATAGGCTCGAAAGATTTAAACAAATAGAAGGAAAAAAATGAAAACATACATCTAGAAATTTCATAAATAAATAAAAAAAAAGTAAGAAAGAAGAAAAATCATAATTCTTGATCATGAAATAACAAAATACGAAGAAAAGTCAGCAAGAAAGAAGAAAGAATACACTTCTCTTTCAGTTACCTTGTATTGGTAGGATTTCGTCTAACAAAAAATTCAATGGCTCGATATCTTCCTTAAAACTTATCCTAGCTGTAGCTCGGAACGAAAAATCGGCAAAATGCAGAATTCTTGCGTTCAATTGCTTGAACATCCCAGACACACTAAATAATCATATGCTAGCCACAAAATCAGGTGTATGCAATAAAATAGTGGACATGTTATGAGACGGATAAATCGAGACAAACACTCGTTAGCGATTTGGTCAGAGACATGCTATAGCTGGTGATACCAGTTTGAACACAGTATTTTGAATATGCGTGTCGAACAACTTAAGCACTCGATCTACTCAACCGATTTTGATAATCTTTTGTTTTCGTTTTATTAGTCTAAAGTAGGGCGTAACCAGAAAAACGTGATGTAGGGGCTCAGCCCCCTGATCAAGTTCGTAGAGGGGGCGAAGACACTTTCACTCACGTTTTTAGAGAAGCTCATGGTGTTTTTTAACAGAAGTCAACTATTTGTGGGGGAGAAAGGCTCAACGCCTTCTAGAGGAAGTTGAGCCCCCTTTAGCCCCCTTTAGCCCCCATCTGATTATGCCACTAGTCTAAAGATGGTTATTCACCTCTGACAAAATCAAATTTCCATTTGTTTGAGTTTCCGAGAAGTTATAACAAAAGGTGAAGTACCTAGCTTTTAATACATTCCGTCGAAAATCAATCAATATTCTTTTTTATTCCATTGTGATTCTTTTTCAATAGCTTTTAGAATATATCTTTGGCTTCAGCTTTAAACAAAGTTTTGTGAATGATAAATTATCGATAATAGGAGTCAAGACACTTCTCAAATCTGTGTAAAGCAACATTAAAATCAATAGCATTTTGCTCGAAGGAGTTCATTTGAATAAAGCTATTTGGATATCAAGGCAGTATAAGAGAAAAATAATTTGAAAAGTGAAAGAGATTTGTCTCAAACTTTGTTAATATAACGAGTATAGAGAATTAAAAAAGATGATTTTCAAGGTACATCTACAGCGATTTTATTAATTTTGTTACTACTATAACTCAATTAAAGCTGAACGGTTTATCATAAAAGCTTCACCCTTTTTCAACTCATATAGTAGAATGATCCCTCAAGAAATCGAGAGAAAATCTGCTTCCATTCGAGAAAAAATTTAATTTTACTAACACGATGTAGAGCAACAGTTTTTTGAAGTATTTATACACTAAAAGTGATTGATATAAAAATAGACCATAAAAATCGGCTCCGATACAGAAAACTGTTGCGAAAACATTATTTTCTTACCCAATTGGCATCACTCTATAAAATACAGCACTTTGTTTTCTCTTATCAGTAAATTTAGTTTCATCGATTTTGTCTTCAAACGGTGAAATGATTGTGTTCGTGACTCAAATATGTTTTATCTGGAAACGAATATTATGGTTATTGTTAAAATACAAGCCATTTCTTTCAAAAACATACAGAAAAATTAAAAATAAAATTAACAAATCAGTTTATTTCTTCAATATTATCAGTGTATGATTGGTCACTAGCAGTTGAATGAAAACCAAAACCAATATCACATGGTGCCAAACAGCATAACGAATGTAGAGCTGTACTAGAATATGACTCTGATGGATTTTCACCATCACTTCCGTTTTCTGATTCCATTGCACGAGTACGTTGTTTAAGAAAAAGAGCTGCTTCTTGATCAAATTTTGCACGATTTCGAATTAACTAAAACAAGCAAAGTAACTACAAAAAGAAGCACAACATTAACAATACAATTTTACTTTATATACTGTTGATTGAGCAATGTTATCTCCTCTTCTCAAATGTACTTCTGATACAGGAACATCACGTGTTGCTGCATGATTTATTAATGATTCAATATTTGTTAACGATACAAAGCATTCACCAATAAAATCATCCTTTAATACCATATTTTTATCCCAAACACTAAGACGTAAAACCGCACCCGGTGTATGTACAATATCTGATGGAAGATAATCCCTTGAAACAAAAAAAGAAAAAGAAAAAGTTCATGTGCTATAAAAAATCATTTAACTAAAAAAAATCTACCATTGAAATAGTTGATTAAATTCTGGATCAAGTGTTCGTTTTATGGTAATTGTTTTATGTTCTTTTGGACGTTTTGGATAAAGTCTTGATGGTAATAATTCAAGAATAACATATGGATCTGATGAACCGCAATGATCCATTTTTGGTAAGTGGTGACAAGAAAAAACTTCATATAGAACACAAATATATATATCTATATATCATTCACTCGGAATGTAATAAAACAAATCAACATACTTTCAGCATAAATAGTAATACGATCATCGACGATTTCATATGCAGCACGAAAAACAATTACACCATTATTTGTTGGACATGAATACTTAGAAATAAATAAAAACATACAATAAAATTTTGACAAAATTTCAAAGAATATTTACAGGAGAAGGTGTTTGAGTTATCTCTCGGAAATAAATTAATTGTAATTGTTCAGTTGATAATGCAAATTGTTGAAGTGTTCGTCGAAAAGTTGTTACTTCTTCACATGATGGACCAGGTATATGTTGTTCTCCACGACATACTTTTTCAAAATATAAAGCCAAATGACCAAATGATTGTAAAACACGTTCATAAAAATCTGGAGACTCTTGTAATGGTAATAATTCCCTTAAACATTGTAGTGCTTTTATACGTATAGCACAAGCAACACGAGAATATTGAACTTTTTCAAGACCTGCATATAATTTACGAAGAATTTCTTGATCTATGTATTGATTTATATCATTCATAGGCTATAAATTATATTCGAAAAAAATAAATCTATATTTATTTATTTGTATATTTTCTTACGTCGACTTTTCTACGTTTTTCATCTTCATAGTATTTGGAAATTTTATCTTTTAAAGATACATAAAATAAGGTAGCAACACGTTCAAATATAAGTTTAATAACATCATTCATTTCATGTTCAGCTGTTGATATTAAACGTTCAAGTGTTACTTTCGTTTGTTGAAAATCTGTTGAATCATAGTTTTCAATCATCTTATCAATAACAGTCGAGAAATTTAATACATATGGCAAAGATGAAAGAAGTTTTTGCTTAACAAATTCAATATCATTAACTAAGATACATAACTAAAATTAATAAGAATAAATTAAAAACAAAAACAACAAATAAAATTCTTTTTCAACGAACTTTTTTTGAAACATTAAATGATCGTGTACTATTTAAATCAGTAAAATATCTATGTTGCGATAATATGCGTGCTGTACGTCTTGCATAATGTTGACATTGTTCACATATTGTATTTGTTAATCTAATAAGTGCTGTATAACGTATATATATATCAGGATAATCAATTGCTTCCCATTCTTGACAAAGCTAAATTAAATTAATCCGATACAAATATACGACGACAGATGAAAAATATACCTTTGTACATGCATCAGCAGCTCCCATAGATGATGGAGAATACCGGATAGAATCTTCATCAGAAAAAACCTTTACAGAAATCGTTCTTCGTTTTTTCATATAAACTAAATGTAGCAGGGTCTTACTTCATTATCACCTTCTACTGCTCTTTTCATGATTTGCCTGATTTTTGCAACAAAACCTTCTAATGAAAATGTCATTATTGGTGAAAACCATTGGCGATATTCAACTAATTTTAATTTAAATGCATGTCTTTGCCAATCCCTATGCAAACAAGAATAAAAACAAAAAAAAACAATCAGATCATTAAATAAAAGGCAAAACAAATCTACCTTGCTTCAAGATTATTTCGAAGTGCTGTAGTAATTGTTTGTAAGTGTAAATATAAATATAAAAGTAAACGCGAACTTTCAATTAAATTTGGATCATATATTGATGATGTTGCTTTAACCATTGGTTTGGAATATGTTTGAATATATTCTGTCATATTTTGTAATAAACATCTTGTTATTTCAGTTAACTAATGTATATAAAATATATCTAGTATATAGACAATATTACAGAATATCTTACACGATCTCCTGCACTATTGGTTTCAAAAAAACATGCTTCTATGTAACTTATATTAAATGATAAAAACAGAGTCTGGTATTCTTTTATAATTGACATTGATTTAGACAATTTTTCAACAAATTCGAGAAATTCTCGAACATTATTTAATTGTATGCCGTTCTTATCCTGGAATTTAAATGAATGAATACTAAACAAATCATTGATATCAGTTTCTAAACGAGTTTTGATTGTTTCTTCAAGATGTCTTTTTGTTTCTGATTCATTTGAACAGATTTTCAATTGAAATAAATTACAAATTGTCCTAAAAATATTTCATTATTAATATAATTAATATGTTCAATATATTTATAAATCATCTATTTCATTAATTATTAGAAAAAGATTCATATTGTAGAAGAAAAGATTTATATTTTCTTTCAGATCCACATGANCATTCTCATACAATGTAAAATCCATGGTTTCGGTCACCAGGAAACTTTAAAAACTGGCCAGAAGAACACTGAAAGCTACAGAAATTAGAGATTTCATTTTTTTGATGCGTTGCTTACTTGGAATTCAGAACGACTTCTGTTAGAAAAACGTTGATTTCTTGATCAATAAGAATTGGAATACACGCCAACCACAACAGCATTGAATGAACGCGAATGATATCATATTTTCTGGTTCTCTATTTACTGTACTAGAATAGTCATTGAAGAGCGTTCAAGATTTATTCTTTCGGAAATTTTCTTTTTGGCAGTTAGAGCGCGTCGGGTCCAACAATTTTTTGAATTCGGACCTGGAAAAAGAAGTACATATGGTTTCATTATTTTTAGCGCTCTTGCATCGTTCGAACATGCATCTTGTAGAGAAATGATTTCTCTGTCAGCTCATGTATTTAGAAACATAGAACAATCCTAGATGTCCAAAATTTCCTTCTTACAAACTTTCTGGTCCAAAGTTCAACCCGGTTGGACCCGGAAATTTGTAATTAGAAAATTTTGGACACTTCGAATTGTTGTATGTTTCTAGATACATGAGCTGATAGAGTAATCATTTCTCTATAAGATGCATGTTCGAACGATGCAAGCGCCTATGTTTCATTACAATCAAACTGCGGCCCCATTACGGCGTAACTGCGACGCAGCCGTTAAAAACGTGGCGACATGGGATGGCATTAAAAATGATGAAGCCACACGTACTTCTTTTTCTGAGTTCGAATTCAAAAATTATTGGACCCGACGGGCTCTATTAGCAGTTGTTACATTTGAAATTTTCACTTTTATCATGTTGTGAGAGTTTTATTTTGATATCATTAGACTTATCTGTGATCGAATGTATTTTATTGAACTGATAGTCTTATATCTGTTCTTTTACTGTTGAAAAAGAAGTAAGCAGAAGTATTTTATAAGAATATGACAAATGTCAAAAGAGGACAAATCGAAAATGGAAAGTAAGCTGTCTAGAACTTCATTCTCATGATGTTGACAGCATAATTATATTTTTCTGGTGAGAACAATTCTGTTTGATAGTTCTGGACCATTTAGGAATGAATTGTGAAGTTTTGTATAATTCGAATAAATTATTATTCATATTTTCGTTTCGGTACAATAAGATGATTTCTGGTTTGACTTCTTTTGTCGTTTCATGCAAATTTTATATGATTGAAACTTGATTTGTAATAATTACTGGAAATAGGCACAGAAAAAATATTGAAGCTCATTTTTATGAACTAAACGGATTTTTACGATCAAGAAGATGAGCTAAAAAATTGTTACCTCTAACGGTAATAGTTATTTTTTTTGCTTCTATGCTTTTTTTTGATTACTTATATTATCGCTGAAGTGGAACCTGTCAGAATTAATAATCAGGAGAAAATCTTGCAAATCAGTTTCTGAAACCAGGAGATTTTGTAGACCTGCTGATAGTGAAAGTCATATTATATTTGTCGTATATTAATCATTTCTTATCTTTTACATTGCCAGTTTTCGAGATATGTTACACGATTGTTCGAAGAGAAAATTTTAACACAACATATCAACAACATATGAACTTTAACTATACATAGAATATTAAATGATATAAACAGAAGACTGACATTGAATCCTTTTTGATACTTATTTTTAAGCCTTATTATTGGAAGATTAGAACTCACAGTAATAGTGTTTACAAAACTTTTCTTTCAATATTGTCGACAATATTACTTATATGCATTATGTACCACATCTGGATTTCTAAAACTTTTATACGATTTGTTTTAATTGATATAACAAAACAGAAACATTCTTTCATTGTCCATTAAAAGAATGTGCATCCAAATTTTCGCATGAACTGTATGTACTATCGTCTTTCCATTTAAGTAAACTCCATAGACGATAACCACTTTGGGTATTAGTCATTTGTATTGAATCCTGTAACGATGGCTTCAAATTATGCAACTGACGACGATCATGATAATGACGATTATTTAAACCTGAAGATAATTTATGTATATGTTTTATCTGGCAATAATTATTTTGACTTTTGTTAAAACACATGCAGTTTGTTTCAAAAAGCATATAGAAAAATTAAAAAGAAAATGAATAAATTAGATTATTTCGTCATCATCACCAAGATCTGATTGATCATGCGCGGTTGAATGAAAATTGAAACCCATATTAAATGGCAGCAAGCAAAGTAATGAGCGTAGAGCTGTGCTAGCATATGAACCTGATGAATTTCTATCATCACTTATAACAGATGCATCATCACTTCCGTTTCCTGATTCCATTGCGCGTGTGCGTTGTTTAAGAAAAAGAGCTGCTTCTTGATCAAATTTTGCACGATTTCGAATTAACTAAAATAAGCAAAGTAACTACAAAAGAAAGCAGAACAAAAACAGTGAAATTTACTTCATATACTTTTGGTTGAGCATGCTTATTTTGTCTTCTCAGACGTACTTCTGATACAGGAACATCACGTATTGATGCACGATTTTTTAAAGATTCAATATTTGTTAATGGTACAAAACATTCACCAATAAAATCATCCTCTTTTACTATATCTTCATCCCAAACACTCAGACGTAAAACCGCACCCGGTCTATGTACAATATTTAATGGAAGACGATACCTTTACATAAAAAAGCAAAAAGAAAGTTTTCATTGGCAATGAAAAATCATTTAGCTAAAACACAAATCTACCATTGAAATAGTTGATTAAATTCTGGATCAAGAGTTCGTTTGATTGTAATTGTTTTGTCTTCTTTTGGGCGTTTTGGATACAGAGTGGATGGTAATAATTCAAGGATAACATATGGATCTGATGAGCCGAAATAATCCATTCTTGGTAAATCTTGACAAGAAAGAACTTAACGTAGAAAACAAATATATGTGTATATCTTTCACTCTAAGGATACTGAAATAAATCAACATACTTTGAACATAAATAGTAATAAGATCATTGACAACTTCATATGCAGTGCGAAAAACAATTACACCATTATTTGTTGGAGATGGATACTTAAAAATAAATTAAAAAAATAAGTAAAATTTCGACAAAATTTTCAAAGACTGTTTACAGGAGAATGTGTTTGAGTTATTTCTTGAAAATAAATTAATTGTAATTGCTCAGTTGATAATGCATATTGTTGAAGTGTTCGTCGAAAAGTTGTTACTTTTTCACATGGTGGACCAGGTATATGTTCTTCTTCACGACATACTGTTTCAAAATAGGAAACCAAACTATTAAATGATTGTAAAACACGTTCATAGAAATCTGGCGGCTCTTGTAATGGTAATGATTTCCTTAAACATTCTAGTGTTTTCATACGTATAGCACAAGCAACAGGAGAATATCGGACTTTTTCAAGACCTGAATATAATTTGAGAAGAATTTCTTGATCTATGTATTGATTTATATCATTCATAGCCTAAAAATTATATTCGAAAAAAAAATCTATATTTATTTATTTGTATATTTTCTTACGTCGACTTTTTTACGTTTTTCATCTTCATAGTATTTGGAAATTTTATCTTTTAAAGATACATAAAATAAGGTAGCAACACGTTCAAATATAAGTTTAATAACATCATTCATTTCATGTTCAGCTGTTGATATTAAACGTTCAAGTGTTACTTTCGTTTGTTGAAAATCTGTTGAATTATAGTTTTCAATCATCTTATCAATAACAGACGAGAAATTTAATAAACATGGTAAAGATGAAAGAAGTTTCTGCTTAACATATTCAATATCATTAACTAAGATACATAACTAAAATTAATAAGTATAATTTAAAAACAAAAGAGAACAAATAAAATTCTTTTCCAACGAACTTTTTTTGAAACGTTAAATGATCGTGTACGAGTTAACTCAGTAAAATATTTATTTTCCGATAATTTATGTGCTGTACGTCTTGCATAATGTTGACATTGCTCACATATTGTATTTGTTAATTTAATAAGTGCTGTATAACGTATATTTATATCAGGATACTCAATTGCTTCCCATTCTTGACAAAGCTATATTAAATTAACTCGATACAAATATAAGACGACAGAAGAAAAATATACCTTTATACATGCATTAGCAACTGCCTTAGATGATTGAGAATATCGGATGAAATCTTCATCAGGAAAAACCTTACAAAGAATCGTTCTTTAACTTTCTTTTGTATGAACTAAATGTAACTGATTCTTACTTCATTATCATCTTCTACTGCTCTTTCCATTGTTTGTCTAATATATGCAACGAAACCTTCTAATAAAAATTTCATTATTGGTGAAAACCATTGACGATATTCAACTAATTTAAATTTAAATGCATTTGTTTGCCAATCTCTATTTAAGCAAGAAAAGAACAAAACAATTAGATCAATAAATATAAAACAAAACAAATCTACCGTGCTTCAAGACTATCTCGAAGTGCTGCAATAATTGTTTGTAAGTATAAATATAAATATAAAAGTAAACGCGAACTTTCAATTAAATTTGGATCATATATTGATGATGTTGCTTTAACCATTGGTTTTGAATATGCTTGAAAATATTCTGTCATATTTTGTAATAAACATCTTGTTATATCAGTTAACTAATATAGATTAAATAAGTTTATTTTATAGACAATATTACAGAATATCTTACACGATCACCTGCACTGTTGGTTTCAAAAAAACATGCTTTTATATAATTTATATTAAATGATGAAAAGAGTTTTTGATATTGTTTTATAATTGACATTGATTCAGATAATTTTTTGATAAATTCAAGAAATTGTCTAACAGTATTTAATTGTATATCATTCTTATCCTGAAATGCAAACGACTGAACACTAAAAGAATCATTGATATCCGTTTGTAAACGAGTTTTGATTGTTTCTTCAAGATGTCTTTTTGTTTCTGATTCATTTGAACAGATTTTTAATCCAAAAAAAGTACAAACCGTTCTAAAAAACATTTCATTATTAAAATAATTAATATATTTAATCTGTTTACAAATCATTTATTTCTTTAATTATTAGAAAAAGATCTATATTTTCTTTCTGATCTATATGATTCAAATATAATTATTCTCGTACAAAATAGATTTTCTTTAATTTTACCACCATGCACCAAGATAATCGATTTTATCTTTTCGAAATTTAATTTCGTATAGAAAAAGAAAACATTTGTAAGACTGAAACAAACTTAGTATTTTCATATTCTATTGACTCATAGTTTTTAGAAAATATATAAAATACGATTAATTTATTTTTATTATCAAGAAAAATATTTGAGCAAAATATAATACTTTGATTTATTAGTTAAGTACGTATGCTCTAATGAAAATAAATTGATAATTACAATCTATTCTAATAATTCTCGAATATTTTAACATTCACTGTTAATGATTATTCTATTGTTGATAAACGAGATACATATTCAAGATTTTCTTTTTTTTTTCGTGAAATTAAAGAAAGTTGTCCTCTTTCTGAAAAAAATCTACAAGTCTATCTTTTTTGTTTCATTTTTCTTAAAAATAATCGACTGCATCTTATCATTTCATTGAAATTAAATATAAACATACTCGAATATACTTTGAATACTTGATAAATTTTCTTTCAAAGGTAAAAACCATGGTGCATCATCACGTACACGTTTTTTATAATGACCAATAAATAAATAAAAAATTTCCTTAAATACTGTTTTCTAAAACGAAACACGAGTTTTTTTTTCAAACAATAAAAAAAATAAAATAATTTTATCAATTTTACTTCATAATCAGTAAAATCCAGATCACTAACATCAATTCTTTGTCGTACTTGTTCTACAAGTATTTTCAAATAACCTTCAATGACACCTTGACTTATAAATGATGCATAATCTTCTGAACATCGAAGTTCCATAATAACAAGTAATTGTCTATTGATTTACAAATATAATACTATTAGATTCAATTCTTTATTATTTTATTCTTACATCAATGCTTCTGATAGAATTGAAATATTGTATAAAACACGAAATTGTGTGAGAACACTACAAGATAATTCATTTATTGATCCATTCCAATTAATAATTAAATCATTTGATTCATTATTTTTATTCTAGAAAACAAATATTTTTTTATTCTTAATTTTACTACTAAGAAAACATTTCTTACAGCTTCTCTTGCATCTTCTAATTCATGTAACATAACAATGCGCGTTAATTGATGATATTCTTCAATAAGTAACGGTAAATCTGAATCAGTAGCTGATGCTAAGCATGAATCATTTCGACTCAACTCTCCTTCAAGACTGTCTTCAAAAACTAAAGAAAAAACAAAAAGTGTTTTATATTAACAATTTTATGAAGCATCATCTAAAAGAAGTATTAAAGTAAAGGTTTAAAAGTAGTGGTGAAGGTAGAGAGCGGCTGGATGTTGCTTATTCTCTTTCAAAAACCTTTAAGCTTCCACTAGAAATGAGACGATCCTTTATTATACGTGAAGAGAGTATCTCCCTTTCAGCTTCAAACAGGAGCTGAGTCTCTACAAAATTTTCCTCATTCCGTCACTAGGTGAAAGTTTAAACGCTCCTCCCTCTCACAGACTGTGCCAGACGCCCTAGCAACCCCCCCCCCCCCCCCCCCCCCCCCCCCCCCCCCCCGTCCCATTCAGAGGCCGCATTAAATGTTAGCAATGTATGATCACAGATCATATATAAGTAAAGACTCGTTATAATATATGAACCATTACTTCCTTATTCCATGTCTTGAGGACTAAATAAAAGAATGTTGAAGAAATGTGTCGCAAAATAGATACAATAGAACAACCTCTTTCTGAAAAGTAACAATAGTTAAGTCATGTTTCATATTTTAATGCCACAAGAATTCTGTTTACAGATTTTCTCTAAGAATATATGCACCAAAGTATTCATTAGCGACGTGACTTCTCAAAATTAAAACAATGCGCATCTCGGAATAATGAACTGTGCTCTAACTAATTTTTGTATATCACATGTGTGTTAAGTTACTCTAGATACTCTGAAAATATCGGCGCTAGAGGCATTTGATCAGATAAATTAGTAGCAACAGAAACCTAGTTTTAGCAACGTGACACAAAAAAGGACATCGACTTTCATTTCATGCATTTTAATTTGAAAAAACTTCGAATTAAGATGGCATTTTTGAAAACTAAATACTACATTCTATCAACTATTCGTTGGACTAGAAGATCTCTATCCTAAGTGTTTTCTGAACATGCCTAGATTTTCAAACACAATCGGTATACTTGTCGTTAGCAACGTGAAGGAGTGCAAATGTGCACACGAAAGAATACTCTTATAACCAAATGACAAGTTCGAAACTCATTCCAGATGAAAAAAATTCTTCTTCAGAAACTCTAGATGGTGGTAAGACAAATATTTTATTTTTGAGACTTGACAGAATCCATAGAAAACTGGTTTTGAGGAAGAAGCCTTCTTAAAGTTCGGCCTAGCTGAAAATTTCACTATAGATACAACTCATATCGTTGTGTTTATCCTAATCTTGTCCGATATTTTTTCATATGGCTATTTGCTGATTAATTTTTACTTAATAGATAGTTGATAGAGCCAACATTTTACGTATGTCTATGCTAAAAGAAGTTGTACAGAAGAGTAACCTTTGTAAAGATTCAACGTTAAATGAAAAATTTGTAGATCTCATTTTGTCTAAATGGCCCACGCGTAAACTTACCTGGCAGTTGTGCGTAATCACGAAGTTGCATTGATGATGGACGAAAATTTTGTCGAAAAATACTTGAACATAATATAATTGATGAATTCATTTGATTAGCAGACGATAATGATGAATGGCGGCGACGAAATTCTAGCACAGTACCATTTAATAAATGTTGATGAGTGTTCGTATTTTTATCATCCTTGAAACGAAAGCAGACAAGATAAAAAAAAAACTTTTTAAAAACTGGAAAAAAAGAAGACATCTAGATTATCGTCCTTCATTTAAAAGTCATGCAAAAGCATTTATAGCAAATGATGATAACCTTCGAAATAGTGCGAGAACGAAGATATAAAGATTGAGTAAGCCGATTGACTTGATCATGCTGAAGATCAACTTTATAAGGAAAAAGCTTTAGATCGATCTTTTTCTACTCACCAATTTAAAATGAACTTTTAATCCAAGTAGAATTTCGCCTCGTGGTTTATTAGTATTTAAACGATTTTGATTTAATCCTGTTAAAGGAAGCCATTTTTCACGATCAAATGTAGCTAATGACTATAAATAAAAAAGAGTATTTAATTTGAAAAATGTAATGTTACCCATGAAAAAAAAAATTGTATAAAAACGCGTTCCAACGCAAACTTTCAGAGAAAAAACGCTGTTTTTGCGTTTAAACGCATCTTATTTTGTCTGAGACGCACCTAAACGCATCGGTTTTCGTTTAAAACGCGTTTAAATGCATTTTTTACATTTACAACACGTTTTTTCAATTTAAAATACTACCTAAAAATGTCGTTCAAACATGTGTTATTGTATTCGTTACGACGCGTTTATTTGTTATGCATCTNAGTGGTCAGAACCGTTTATGGAAAAAGTCATTTTCTAGTAGCTTCATTTCGATTTTCGTAATCAGCAGCTTTGAATCTATAGTTGCATTCGGTTTCGACTCGAGAAAAGCGAATTTTTTCTTTCATGATATCTGGGAACCACTGGGAGCAAAACCATGAATGTCATTTTTCCTAGAACAAAGTTGAAAAATATCACCAGGATCGAGCGCTGTTTAAAGCCCGATAGAAATAAATGGGTACGAGGGGGCCGCAAAACAGCCTTATCCGCCCTCATCTTTTCTATAGGTGGAAAAAAGAATATTTTGTTGTGCGATTACGTATAGAGAGAGAGAATTTGAAAATATCACTTTTAATTAACAAAGAAAAGGATACATCTATAACAAGTAAAGCATATGATCACTTGATTTCTGAAACATCTATCATATATACTAAACATAATTAATTCTTACTTCATTATCATCTTCTACTGCTCTTTCCATGATTTGTCTGATTTTCGCAACAAAACCTTCTAGTAAAAATGTCATTATTGGGGAAAACCATTGGCGATATTCAACTAATTTTAATTTAAATGCATTTGTTTGCCAATCTCTATTTTAGCAAGAAAAAAAATCAAAAAACAATTAGATCAATAAGTAAATGACAAAACAAATCTACCGTGCTTCAAGATTATCTCGAAGTGCTGTAGTAATTGTTTGTAAGTGTAAATATAAATATAAAAGTAAACGCGAACTTTCAATTAAATTTGGATCATACACTGATGATGTTGCTTTAACCATTGGTTTGGAATATGCTTGAATATATTCTGTCATACTTCTTAATAACCATCTTGTTATTTCAGTTAACTAATGAATATAATATAAGTTTATGAGCAGTCGTCCTATTCCTCAATGTTGAACATTGAGGAATCAGTTCCAACCAATTCCAGGAACTCTATCATCATTCAACATAAGAGACCTACTGGGCATTGATCGAGTTTCGTCAATTCCCTGAATTCCAATTAATTCCGTTTCAATCGAATCCTCGGAATTCAGGTAATTGCCGGAACTCGATCAATGTTGATTAAGCCCGTACTTTATCATGCTAATAGAGTTCTCGGAATCAGAGAGAATTGATTCCGTAATGTTCAACATCACAGAATAGGATGTATTCTCAAATTTTTTTCTATAGACAATATTATAGAATATCTTACACGATCACTTGCACTATTTGATTCAAAAAAGCATGCTTTTATATAATTTATATTGAATGATAAAAACAGAATCTGGTATTCTTTTATAGTTGATATTGATTTAGATAATTTTTCAACAAATTCGAGAAATTCTCGCACAGTATTTAATTGTATATCATTCTTATCATGAAATATAAATGAATGCACACTAACCAAATCATTGATATCAGTTTCTAAACGAGTTTTGATTGTTTCTTCAAGATGTCTTTTTGTTTCTGATTCATTTGAACAGATTTTCAATTGAAATAAATTACAAATTGTTCTAAAAATATTTCATTATTAATATAATTAATATGTTCAATATATTTATAAATCATCTATTTCATTAATTATTAGAAAAAGATTCATATTGTAGAAGAAAAGACTTATATTTTCTTTCAGATCTTCATGATTCAAATATAATTATACTCGTACATAATAGATTTTTCTTAAATTTTATTACAACACACAAAAATAATCAATTTTATCTTTTTGAAAATTTCCTTTGATACACAAAACGAAAATATTTGTAACATTTAAACAAACTTAGTTTTTTCATATTCTATTGACTTATATTTTTCCGAAAATATATAAAATATTATTATTTTATTTTTATTATCAAGAAAAATATTTGAGCAAAATATGATATTTTGACTTATCAGTTAACCATGCATATTCTAATGAAAATAAATCGATAATTATAATTCATTTTAATAGGCGTTGAATATTTTAATATTAACTATTGATGAATATTCTATTGTTTATAAACGAGATACATATTCAAGATTTGCTTTTTTTTCGTGAAATTGAAGAAAGTTGCCCTCTTTCTGAAAAAACTCTACAAGTCTATCTTTGTTTGTTTCATTTTTCATAAAAATAATCGATTGCATCTTATCATTTCATTTTGATTAAATATAAACATACTCGAATATACTTTGAATATTTAATAAATTTCCTTTCAAAGGTAAAAACCATGGTGCATCATCACGTACACGTTTTCTATAATGACCAATAAATGAAAAGAAAATTTCTTCAAATACCGTTTTCTAAAATGAAATACAAGAGTTTTCCGAATAAAAAAAAATAATTATATCAATTTTACTTCATAAACAGTAAAATCCAGATCACTAACATCAGTTCTTTGTCGTACTTGTTCTACGAGTATTTTCAAATAACTTTCAATAACGCTTTGACTGATAAATGATTCATAATCTTGTGAACATCGAAGTTCCATAATAACAAGTAAGTGTCTATTGATTTGCAAATATAATATTATCAGATTCAATTCTTTATTATTTTATGCTTACATCAGTGCTTCTGATAGAATTGAAATATTGTATAATACACGAAATTGTGTGAGAACAGCACAAGATAATTTATTTATTGATTCATTCCAATTAATAATTAATTCATTTGATTCATTATTTTTATTCTAGAAAAAATGAATATTTTATTATTCTTAATTTTCTGATTAAAAAAAATCTCTTACTACTTCTCTTGCATCTTCTAATTCATGTTGCATAACAATGCGAGTTAATTGATGATATTCTTCAATTAGTAATGGTAAATCTGAATCAGTAGCTGTTGTTAAACATGGATCACTTTGACTTAACTGCCTGTTAAGCTTATCTTCAAAAACTAAAAAAGCAAAAACAGTGCTTCATATTCGTAATTTCATGGAACATGATCTACAAGGGGTGTAATAGTACAGGAGTAAAAGTAGTGGAGAAGCCAGACATTGACTGAATTAGAGGCCTTCAGCCCTACCCTATCCTACCCTATGGTAGGGCTAGGGTACGAAAAACAATGTATGGTAGGGTAGGGTAACGAAATTGATACCCTTGCAGATCTCTAAACTGAAGGGAGCTTAGTTTCTTCCAAAAGTCTTTGAGCTTCGTCTAAAAGTCAGACAATTTTCTATTATCGCCCGAAAAAAAATCTCTTTCAGCTTCAAACCAAGGTTCGATCGTCTTCGGAAATTTTCCTGGCTCCATCATTAAGTAAAAGCTTGGTTGTTCATCCCCCAATAGACGGTGACAGACATAATTATAGCAACATCACAAATCACGACGAACCATAGCAATTTTCTTGCCCCATCCTCCCCCCGCCCCCACAGCGTCATAGGTCCCATCACACGTTAGCAATACATGATCAAAGACCATATATCATTGAAGTCTTATTATAACAAATGAAACATTTCCGTATTGCATTTGCTGAGGACTAAGCAAAATGATGGTGAAGAAATTTATTCCAAAATGGATAAAATAAGACGTTCTTATTATGATGAGTAACAGCAGCTATGTCGTGTTTCATATTTTTATCCCACAGAGATTGCGCTTACAGATTTTTTCCAAGAATGTGATGGCAAAATAATTCTTTAGCAATACTACTTCACAAAACTAAAACACAGATATCTCGGAAAAATAAACTTTCCTCTAACTAATTTTTTCTGTGTTACATTTGTATTAAGGCATTTAAGATACTATGAAAAAGATCAGCGCTAAAGACCTTTGTTGAAAAGAATTATTAGCAAAAAACACTTAGTGATAGCAATGTGACACAAAAAAGGGCGTCGACTTTCATTTCATGCATTTCAGTTTAAAAAATCTTCGAGTCAAGGTAGCATTTTGGAACACTAAATACTATATTCTATGGACTAATCGTTAAGCTAGAAAATATCTACTCTAAGTATGCCTAGATTCTCAAAAAAGATCGATTTACTTTTCGTTGACTACATGAAGAAATACGAATGTACAAACTAATAATGCTCTTATAACCGAATGAAAAGTTTGAAACCCATTTCAAATAATACAAATCCTTCTTCGGCGTCTTTAGATGAGAGTAAAACAAATATTTTTATTTTGAGATTTGGCACGATCTGTAGAAAACTGGTTTTGAAGAAGAAACTTTCTTGAAGTTCAATCTTGCTGAAAATTTCACTATAGATACGACTCGTATCGTAGTGTTTATTCTAAACTTTTCCGACTAATATATCCCGTTTTGCGTAAAACGGTCAATATGTATATACTTACTAGGCGACTTTGCATAATTATGAGGTTGCATTGATGATGGAAGAATCTTTGTCAAAAAACTACTTCGAAGCGACATACTTGATGATTTCCTTTGCTCAGCAATTGATAATGTTGGACAGCAACGACGGAGTTCTGCTAAAGTACCATCCGACACATGTTGATGAGTTGTTATATTTTCATTATCCTTTAAACAAAAACAGGCAAGATAAAGAAATTCTTTAAAAAACAAAATGAAAAGAACACATCTAAACTATCGTTTCTTCATTTAAAAATCATGCTAAAGCAGCTATAACAAATGATGATAACCCTTGAAATAGTGCGAGAATGAAGATATAAAGATTCAGTAAGCCGATTGACTTGATCATGCTGAAGGTAAACTTTATGAGAAAAAAAGCTTCAGATGCATTTTTTTTCTACCTACCAATTTAAATTTAACTTTCACTCTAAGTTGAATTTCACCCAGCGGTTTACTATTACTTAAACAAATTCGATTTAATACTTTTAAAGGAAACCATTCTTCACGATGAAATGTAGCTAATGGCTATAAATATTAAAAGTCTTTAGTTTGAAAAAATCTAGAAAAAACGAAATTTTTGTTACTCTAAAATCAACGTCAACTTGACCAAGAAAATGATCTTCACGTGAATCGGTCGTGAAGACTTTTCGGATACTAAAACGTTTGCTAAAATAATCAAATAGAGATGAAATATGTTTGAAACAAAAAGAACAAGATTTACCTCGAAACACCTCCTTTTTCTTGAGCATCTGGCTTAAGTCTTGGTACTTGATCACGATCTGAATCGAATACCCTTATAAGTAAACGTTGTTCTTGTACATTTTCTATCTCACTAAATAAATTAAAACAATAAATATTCTATTTTAGAGATAATCAATAATGAAAAGAAACAAAAACCGAGCGATTAGGCAAAATTGAATAAAATTTTAAATCAATATAACCAACATACAATTCAAAATGTTCGTTCCATTCAGGATTAATAGTTTTTGGTTGGACTTCTGTACAATAAATAAAGCCTTTATCAGTTTCGCCATCATTAGATGATACTGTTGATAAAATATCTATTGAGCGTCCTGGAATACTGCCTTTACTGCTTCGTCGGCTATTTTTTATCGCTGGCAATTTTAACTTTTTTTTTGAAGCTAAATAAAAGAATAAAAAAAATGAACATTATTTTTTATGAAAAGCTTTTGCAACTCAATATACGTGATGCACCACCACAAGAAGGTAATGACTGATCTAGTCTTAGACAAGTAGGTTTTATTGAAGACGGTGCAGCTGATGGCGATGATATCAATTCATTTGAATCATCTTCAATGCTCGAAATATGCACAAGACTCACTTCACAGTACGGATTACTAAGACCTTCTCAAAAAGAAATATAAAAAAATGCAAAATATTTAAAATACAAACAAACCATTTCGATTTCGACCAAGTAAATTGCGTGCTTTTTTAACATCAACACATAGAACAACAGACCATGACTAGATATTACGTGAAAAAAAATCACTATTTGTTGTCGAACATAGCTTACGATTAGGAGGGGAAGCAGGGTGATTTCCTCCGCCTAAATTTTGTCCTACATTCTACCTTTCTCCCAGGAAATCTTCTATTACGAAGAGCTAACGGTTTTTAATATTTCGGTGGACCAGATTGGCTATGCATATGCGAAGCTCTGTTTCTAATTTTTTTAAGAGTGCAAGCTATTTTCTTTCAAAGAGCGATCGAATCAGGTAAAAGAGAAAATAAATGAAACTGAAAGAAAAACTGAATCAAGTCGACCTGGTTCATTTGCTCTTTCAGTTTTCTTTAAATGTCTCTTTTATCTGATTTCGTTTCTCTTTGAGTTTCATTTATTTTCTCTTTGATCAAAGGGAAAATAAATAAAACTCAAACAGACATTGAAACAGGTCAAAGAAAAAAAAGCTAGGCTGCCACTCGAGCAAAGCTCGAATAGAGGAAATCATTATGAATTTAATTCTCTTTCTGATACCTTGACTCAACTGACAAGTGAGAGATAATGAATCTGAATCTGCTCTTGCTATATAAAGAAAATTGCAGCTGTCAGGCCATATCATTACGGAGTAGAAGATGAGGTTTTCCCTCATCTAATTCTTTTTGCCTTCTGCCTTTCTCCCGGGAAATTTTTGTTAGCTGCTGTTTAGCGAGTTTTTCGGTACTTTCAATAGAGGAAATGCACCAAAACTATGCAAAAGAGAAAGCTTTCTGTCTAGTTATCAACAAGAAACAGTCATTTTCTTTTAAAGAGAAACTTTATTTCAAGATTTCAAAGAAAAGCAGCTATTTTTGAGAAAGATAATACGTTCTCTTTATGTTTTCAAGGAGAATCAGGCACTTTCTCCCAAATAGAAAGCTTCCTTTGAGTTTCGGCTACTTTATCCCTGGCTTTGGGAGACTTTCTCCCACTCCTGAATAAAACCAAACAAAAGCTCTGTTGTCGAAAAATAAAACAAAAGAAAAAATAGCCTTACATCGATCTCGAGAGCTCGCATATATTTTTCTTTATGTTCTTCAGGATCAACATTAAAAAGCTATTAAAGTATAAATGAACATTCTTAGTTTTATTTAATCTTTATTTGAAATATACGTCAGCAACGTATGCAGCTAGTTGATTCCTTGTTGCTTTTGGCGCAATCACATGTAATGGAGAACAAACGGCATGTAATGTATATTCGTAGAGGCGACTCTGAAATGAAAATCAATATTTACTACAATAAAGATCATCCAAATAATAAAAGAGGGCGAGAGAAGGCAAGGTAAAAAATAGACTATTCGAAAATGATAACATTTTGTATTTTTGTCATTTTTTATTATAATGACGATTTATTATTTTTGTTTTCTATTTATTATGAAATCAAAATCATATGATGGATTGAACAATATATTGTAAAAATAATTTTGAACTTGAACCTATTTCGAATCGTCGAATGAAAAACAAAAAGAATCAAGTTAATGGCTATCAAATGATTATTGACTATGCATTAGAATATAAAAATTCCATTAGCTTCTTACATAATTTTTTGAAATAAACTCAATCATATTTCATTACAAATAATTCGGTTAGAACTCAAATTATAGATTTTATGTTATAAGAAGAATATTCAAGAAAAAGAGATCTTTCCAAAATATAAAAGAACGAAGTTCTTCTTATTAATAATTCAAATTCAATTTTCAGCAATGAAGAATATCATTAGTATGAATTTAGACTAAAAATAATTAAGTCTAGCAATAAATAACGAGCTAATATTATTTTTAAGATTTTATTTATTCAAATTTTGAATTGTCTTATAATAGTTTATAATAGATTCCAGCTGGCAAAAGAATCATTTCAAGTGATTTATTTATTTTTCTTACATCAAACTCTATGCAAAAATCAGACTTCAGTCAAACATGAAAACCTTCATAAAGGGTAAGTATCTTTATGTTTTCCACTCAGAAGTATAATCATTTTACTGAGATTTCAGCCTATGATATAGTATATACCAACAAATCGAATGGCAATATTCCGATGTAAAATTTTGTTTTACAGATAAGTCTCCCTGTAACTATGATGCTCTAAAAGTTTCAATTCAAGCAAGTGTTTCATTGGCAAGATATTAAATTTCCAAAAATAGAGATCTTTTTCCCTTTTGTGACATAGAACTGACTTCTCTAGAGTCAATGTTTTCGGGAGGAAATGTTCGTTTGAACCGAAATTTTTAAGGCGTTCTACCCACAGGTAGGCCAATCTGTAGACAAAAAACTTTGCATTCAAATATCGCTATTCGACTTTTGGTATAGATCGTATCATTGCCTGAAATTTCAGTAAAATCGCTAGTAGTCTGAAGGAAAAGCATAAGAGTACTTACATTGTATGAGATTACTTACATCTAATCAAAGTTTAACTTGTTCACAGAGTTCAAACTAGAAAAAAGAGTATTCATTTGAAAGAGTTTCTTTCGTCGATTAAAAGCAAATTAATATTCAGAATAATTGATTACACATTATTTGTTCTTCTACTTCACTTTGAATAAAATACTGAAACTTGAGGTAAAATTTTAACATTTTTCAAGCACAATTTCCAATAACTATTGAAATAAACCAAACTGATCAATTATATTTTGCTTTTCGATACATTGCTTTTCATTTATTTTTATGGTCTAAAGTAAATTCTAATATCAATGTGTGTTTTACCAATTGTTCAATATTATTTTAATATTTAATTTTATGATTTAATATTTGTTTCTGATATGCTGATTATTTTATTCTAGGACAATATTTATTCACCTTACAATGAAGCCTTTCCAGATACCAAACCGTTTTTCCACTGAAACGATGTTCATTTGATGATTACAATCGAGTAATGGAAAATTCTACAACGGTCTGTTTTTCCAAGCCTTCGTTTTTGAGATATCGATGCTTTACAGGATGTTTCAACCAAAAGCTGTCGTCTCTCTTAGATCATGTGATCTGACAATGATTGCAGCTTTTGATTAAGAATTCAATGAAACTTCGATATCTCAAGAATGAAAGACTTGAAAACCAAACCATTCTAGAGTTCTGTGTTACTCAGTACTATTCATCAAATGAACATTTTCTCGGCCGAAAAGTGATTTGATATATGGAGAACTTTTCTTGCTAGTAAGATATTCAAAATACAACCTAGAATTTTTCGTTTGACAGTTCAATAGAATGAGAATTGACGAAATGATTTATGAATATATTCATATTAATTGCGTTAATATTTAGTTTGACTTATGTTTATTTCTCTCACTCTCTTACTTCGATAAGATTGCTTCTCTTGTTCATCATACGGAATATTTTTTTTTCTAGAAACANACTTCATAAACAGTAAAATCCAGATCACTAACATCAGTTCTTTGTCGTACTTGTTCTACGAGTATTTTCAAATAACTTTCAATAACGCTTTGACTGATAAATGATTCATAATCTTGTGAACATCGAAGTTCCATAATAACAAGTAAGTGTCTATTGATTTGCAAATATAATATTATCAGATTCAATTCTTTATTATTTTATTCTTACATCAGTGCTTCTGATAGAATTGAAATATTGTATAATACACGAAATTGTGTGAGGACACTGCAGGATAATTCATTTATTGATCCATTCCAATTAATAATTAAATCATTTGATTCTTTATTTTTACTCTAGAAAAAATAAATATTTTATTATTCTTAATTTTCTGATTAAAAAAATCTCTTACTACTTCTCTTGCATCTTCTAATTCATGTTGCATAACAATGCGAGTTAATTGATGATATTCTTCAATTAGCAATGGTAAATCGGAATCAACAGCTGTTGTTAAACATGAATCCCCTTGACTTAAATTTGCTTTAAGCTTATCTTTCAAAACTAAAAAAAACAAAAACAGTGCTTCATGTTCGCAATTTCATGGAATATAATCTAAAAGGAATGTTGAAATGTAGGAGTAAAAGTAGCGGTGGACCACGGGTGCCTGTAGCGAGCTCAGCCTCTGCCAAAAGTCTTTGAGCTCCGTCTAAAAACCAGACGATTTTATATTATCGCCCGGAAAAAATCTCTTTTTCAGCTGCAATTCAAGGCACGGTCGTCCCCGAAAATTTTCCTGGCTCCATCCCTAAGTAAAGACTTGATCTCTTCACCCTCAACAAACTTAAGCGTAGGAACATCACAATTCATGGCCCAGCATAGAAATTCCCCCCTCCCTCTCCCCCAGGGTCATAGATCGCATCAAACATTAGCAATACATGATCAAAAACCATATATCATTGAAATCTCATTATAATATATGAAACATCTCTGTATTGCATTTGCTGAGGACTAAGCAAAATGATGGTGAAGAAATTTATTCCAAAATGGATAAAATAAGACGTTCTCCTTGTGATGAGTAACAGCAGCTATGTCGTGTTTCATATTTTTATCCCACAGAGATTGCGCTTAAAGATTTTTTCCAAGAATGTAATGACGAAATACTTCTTTAGCAACACTACTTCACAAAACTAAAAGACAGATATCTCGGAAAAATGAACTTTCCTCTAACAAAGTTTTTGTGTGTGACATTTGTATTAAGGCACCTAAGACACTCTGAAAAACATCAGCGCTACAGACCTTTGTTTAGAAGAATTGTTAGCAAAAAAAACCTAGTGTTAGCAATATGACACAAAAAAGGACATCGACTTTCATTTCATGCATTTTAGCTTAAAAAATCTTCAAATCAAGGTAGCATTTTGAAAATTAAATACTACACTCTATATACTAATCGTTAGGCTAGAAAATCTCTACTCTAAGTGGTCTCTAAGTATGCCTATATTCTTAAAAAAGATCGACTTACTTTTCGTTGGGTACGTGAAGAAATACAAATGTACAAACCAATAATGCTCTTATAACCGAATGAGAAGTTCGAAACTCATTTCAAATAATGCAAATCCTTCTTCGAAGTCTTTAGATGACAGTAAGACAAATATTTTTATTTTGAGATTTGGCACGATCTGTAGAAAACTGGTTTTGAAGAAGAAGCTTTCGTGAAGTTCGATCTTGCAGATTTTTTTGCCATAGATACGACTCGGGTTGCTGTATTTATTCTAAAGTTTTCTGATTTTTTTCTCGTATGACTATCGGGCTATTCGCAAATTAATTTTCACTTAATAGTCAGCTAAAAGAGCCAACGTTTTTGCATACATTTATGCTAAAAGAAATTGTACAGAAAAGTAATTCTTGTAAAGATTCAAAGTTAAATAAAAGATTGGTACGTTCTATTCTGTATTAAATGGTCTATATGTATACTTACTAGGCCATTTTGCATAAACATGAGGTTGCATTGATGATAGACGAAAATTTTGTCGAAAAATGCTTGGACGGACTATAATTGATGAATTCATTTGATTGGCAGATGATAATGATGATTGGCAACGGCGAAGTTCTAACACAGTATCATTTGATACGCCTTGACGAGGTTTCGTGTTTTTATCATCCTTGAAACAAAAGCAGACAAGATGAAAGAAATTCTTTTATAATGAAAACGAAGAAAACCTCTAGATTATTATTTGTTTATTTAAAAATCATGCAAAAGCAACTATAACAAATGATGATAGGCCGTGAAATAGTGCGAGAACGAGAATATAATGATTGACTTGATCATGCTGAAGATCAACTTTATAAGGAAAAAGCTTCAGCTCGATCTTTTTTCTACTTACCAATTTAAAATGAACTTTTAATCCAAGTAGAATTTCACCTCGTGGTTTATTAGCATTTAAACGACTTTGATTTGATCGTGTTAAAGCAAACCATTGTTCACGGTCGAATGTAGCTAATGACTATCAACATGAAAGGGTATTTAATTGGAAAAAAGTAGATAAAAGATGGAAATTTAATTACTCTAATATCAAAACTAACTTGACCAAGAAAATCATCTTCAATTTCACCTGTTCTTATGAAATTTTGAAGTCCACGAAGTTTGCTAAAAGATTCAAATAGAAAAGAAATATTGAAACAAGAAAAATAAGTTTTACCGTGAAACACCTCGTTTTTCTTGAACAACTGTTTTAAATCCTGATACTTGATCATGATCATGATCTGAATCGAATACCCTTATAAGTAAACGTTGTTCTTGTATATCTTCTATCTCACTAAATAGATTAAAACAATAAATATTCTATTTTAGAGATGATCAATAATGAAAAGAAAAACAACAGAACGGTTAACCAAAATTGAATAAAATCCTAAATCAATATAAGCAACATACAATTCAAAATGTTCATTCCATTCAGGATTAGTAGTTTTTGGTTGAACTTCTGTACAATAAATAAAGCCTTTATGAGCTTCGCCATCATTAGATGATACTGTTGATGAACGATTTATTGTGCGTCTTAGACTACTACTTTTAGTGCCTCGCCGGCTATCTTTTGTCGTTGATGATTTTAACTTTTTTTTCGAAGCTAAACAAAAAAGTAGAAAAGTGTGAATATTATTTTTGATGACAAGCTTTTGCGACTCAACATGCAGGATGCACTACCAGAAGAAAGTAATGATGGCTCTCGTTGTAGACGATTAGGTGATGTTGAAGGTGATGTTGAAGGCGATGTGGCTGATGACGAGGATATCAGTTCATCTGAATGATCTTGGTCGTTGTGAACATGTGTAGCCCTCACTTCACAATAAGGGTCACTAAGACCTTTTCAAATAAGAAATATAAAAAAATGAACAATATTTCAAATAGAAACCAACCATTTTGATCTCGACCAAGTAAATTGCGTGCTTTTTTAACATCAACACATAGAATAACAGACCATGACTAGACATTACGCGAAAGAAAAATCACTATTTGTTGTCGAAAAACAAAACAAAAGAAAAAATAGCCTTACATCGATCTCGAGAGCTCGCATATATTTTTCTTTATGTTCTTCAGGATCAACATTAAAAAGCTATTAAAGTATAAATGAACATCCTTAGTTTTATTTAATCTTTATTTCAAATATACTTCAGCAACGTATGCAGCTAGTTGATTCCTTGTTGCTTTTGGCGCAATCACATGTAATGGAGAACAAACGGCATGTAATGTATATTCGTAGAGGCGACTCTGAAATGAAAATCAATATTACTACAATAAAGATCATCCAAATAATAAAAGAGGGCGAGAGAAGGCAAGGTAAAAATATTAATTGCGTTAATATTTAGTTTGACTTATGTTTATTTCTCTCACTCTCTTACTTCGATAAGATTGCTTCTCTTGTTCATCATACGGAATATTTTTTTTTCTAGAAACAAAAACAAACAGTAAATAATAACAAATATCAATCAATTATTGTTTTCTAAAGATTCTATCGCTTTATCTAATCTGTAGGTAAAAAGTCTTGGTCAAAAACATCTTCAATGTTCTTGCACTTATAGATTGCAAGAGACAATCACCAGTAGTCAGCTAGAATGAGAATTTTATACTCAATCTAAATATATATTCAGATTCTTTTTCCGACGTAAAGTTGGTTCAGTAAGAGGAAATCTTCGCTGGGAAACTAAAACGATGTTTATATAGAATTGTTCATGTACTACACTTTTGCACATTGATTGAAAATGCCTCAATTCTGATTATAAGAAAACTTCTTATATACTAAGTTGTAGAATGAAACTTGGTCTACAAAATACAAAATTTGATTTTCTTTCTACATATCGCTGAAAAGTATTAGAATCTATTGCATTATATATATCAATATTCTCAGAAAAAAGAATCAGTTATTTCGAAAAATGTCATTTCATGTACAGAGTAGCACTTGTAAACCTATTTTCAAATTTTGATTGTTTCGAGATATAACTTATTGGAATCCATGATTTTGTAGAATATAAAATTCTCTACAAAATTATAAAGAAATAACTATACCAAAATACCCTTTCGAAAAATTGCATATCATAGAACAACGGTTTGTTTTGCGTCGCACAAATGATATTTTTTTATTTATTCAGGTTTTTTTTATATCTAGTTAACTAGTCATAATTGAGAATCAAGTTCTAAGGATATATTTAAAAAGAGTATCAAACTCTGGTTCTACCTAACTAGTTGTATCCTCTTTAATTACAGTTAAATGACCGAAAAATGAATAAATATGGTTACTAAGACCTTTGAAACTAGGATTTTTGTACAAACGTGATTTTTGGTCCTCATCAAAGATCTACTCTTCTGAATCAACTCAAAATCAGAAAAAAAATCTGAATATATATTTAGGAACAACATAAAATCTTCATTCTAGCTGGCTACTTTTTATTATCTCCTACAGTCTACAAATAATAGAAAATTGAGAATATATTTCGTGCCAAGACCTTTTACATGCAGGTTATATCAAATTTATCACTCTTTTTTTCTATTTCAGAATTTTTTTTCATTTATAATAAATCAGGTGTGTTCAATAATGATAGTATAGCATTATTCAATTTTTGACAATATGCTGCTGGATCTATTGCACAAATTATTCGCTTATGCTGTTTGCTTTTTAAATGATCTATATTAAAAAGAAGAAACATTAAAAGAGTCTACATTGAAAATAGAATGAAATATTTACCAAGCCATTGGGATTTCATATGAAATATACGTTGACATGCTAAATATGTATTTTGTTCATAAATAGGTTCATCTATTGGTGTTTTTGAAAGAGGATCAAATGGAATTTTTTCATTCTAACATACAACTATATTTTTAAACATATAAATATAGCAAAAAAGAATGTTTACTCTTAGAAAAGCATCAACAATAGCTTCAGCTTGTTGTTTAGCATTTTCATGCCATAATGATAAATTAGTTGTATCAAGTTCATAAACATTAGCAGAATGTTTTTCGATGTTTAAAATCAAATTTAATAAAACTTTCTACAAAAAATCACTATTTTAATTTTTATTAGTATTAATGCTAGTGAAGAAAACAATTAAAAATAAACTGAATGAAATGGTTTTGAGAAATTTTTTAAGGTACTGACATGCAAAATTAAAGAAAAATCTTTTTGGTCTTTATATATATGTTATGGCCGAAGTTGGAATCCAGCCCGATTCGGAATTCGTCCAGACGAAATTGGAATTCTAATTTCGTCTAGACGAAACTGGAATATTTTTTTAGTGAGTCATACAGCTTAAAGAAATACCCACAATAGAACACAAGTGGG